ACCTACTTTATATAAGCCTTTGCTCCTTGTTTTAAGGCAGAAGGTAAAATTTTTTACTACAGAAAGAAATTTCTGTATTTGTAGTAATTGTACTCATTGGTAGAGTCTTACAGATCTTAGCTAAGCTGAACATTGCTGTCTCCCTACTCACTTCATAAGACATAGATATTCACTAAGCTTAATTTTAGCTCAAACTCCATGTTTATTCATATAGTATACAGTCACAGAATATTTTGTATGTACCATCAAATAATTAATTTGTTTTGCCCCATGGAACAAATGGAATAATTTTTAGTGCCTGGAAATCCCCAGTTTAAAACAACCACCTCTATTTGTTTAACTCTAGAAAGTTAATAGTTTACTGTCCCGACCCACAGGACAGTCAACGTGGGTACCTGGAGGGAGGAGAGGGGACAGAAAGGGACAAGTGATGCGAAGAATGGAGACAAGACATGCTTTCTGATCAAGTCTCATTTATTGAACATCTACACAAAGTTTTTATAGTGAGGAGAGGGGGAAGTTGGCAGGGACAAATCCATTGAAGTAGAGCAATTCAATTAACAGAAAGATTATCACAATAACACCACACCAATTGATCACAGAGTAAATTCCATAGTAACACCACAATTCTATATAGCAAGTTATAAATCAATTAAGAGGTTACACTTGTGTGATTACAGAGTAATACCAAAGTTTCTTAGCAATTACATGTGAGGGAGTCTCTCAAGCGGTAAGGGCCCAGGTTAGAACAACATGTTTGTGAGAGGCTTTCAAGTATAGGCATCTGGTTAATCTCAAACCAGGCCAGCCTTGATGTCTGGAAAACAGCTTTGCCAGGAATCAGGTCTTGCTATTTCCTGGGGTAGGGGCCTACGGCTCCCGACAGTTTACAAGACATAATTCTGCATAGGGAATTGGTGCAGGTCCAACATAGTTTTATGTAATGTTCCAGGAGACGGGCAGTCACTTTTGTGTATCTAACACAGGCTGAGAATTCTGTGCTGTGTCCTCTCTGCGGTTTTGTTTGTCTCTTCTTTTTTGTGAGAACACTTCAATAATTTGATCTTCCATTCCTACTTAACAAGATTAGATAAAAACTGTAAGTACATTTATTTTCACTAGACTATCTGCTTCAGATATTTTTCCTCAAAATCAAAAGTTACTTATTTGGGGGAAGGGAGAGATTCTTGAACATGATTGTTTTCTCTCTTTCACTGAAAAACTTTAGTTGAAGTTTTTGTTATCAATTAGTAATATGCCTGAAATGTTATGCTTTATGGAAGATTCTAACAAGGTGTTACTGAAAAATAATCAGTTAAAATATCTTCTACATGAGACCGATAAATGTTATTTGGATGTATGAGCCTAAATATTCCTCTTCACATCAATGCCACAAGCTTACAACCTGTCTGCAGGAAAAGCACAACCTTTCTTCTGCACTTGTTGAGATACATTTGATGCACAAGGGGTGGCCAGATACTTTATTTGAAATACAGACCTAATTAGTATTCATTTGTCATTATTAAAAGTAGATGTATTTCCACATAGAGCATAAAATGAATAATTACGCATAATTTAAGAGAGCTACATAAAATGTTACACTGATATTTGCTTTTATATATACCTATCAACAATCATGTTTAGAAAGGACACAGATAAATTTAAATATTGGTTTTTTATATATCTCTTCTACGTAAATTTCTGACTTTGGGCTCAAACCA